TGAAATGAATGAAATGAATGAATGAATGAAATGAATGAAATGAATGAAATGAAATGAAATGAATGAAATGAACGAAATGAACGAAATGAACGAAATGAACGAAATGAACGAAATGAACGAAATGAACGAAATGAACGAAATGCACGAAATGCACGAAATGGACGAAATGCACGAAATGGACGAAATGGACGAAGGCACGAATGCCGAAATGACACGAATGCCACGACAGATGAACGAAATGAACGAAATGAACGAAATGAACGAAATGAACGAAATGAACGAAATGAACGAAATGCACGAAATGCACGAAATGGACGAAATGCACGAAATGGACGAAATGGACGAAATGAATGAAATGAATGAAATGAATGAAATGAATGAAATGAATGAAATGAATGAAATGAATGAAATGAATGAAATGAATGAAATGAATGAAATGAATGAAATGAATGAAATGAATGACATGAATGACATGAATGACATGAATGACATGAATGACATGAATGACATGAATGACATGAATGACATGAATGACATGAATGACATGAATGACATGAATGACATGAATGACATGAATGACATGAATGACATGACATGAATGAAATGAATGAAATGAATGAAATGAATGAAATGAATGAAATGAATGAAATGAATGAAATGAATGAAATGAATGAAATGAATGAAATGAATGACATGAATGAAATGAATGAAATGAATGACATGAATGAAATGAATGACATGAATGAAATGAATGAAATGAATGAAATGAATGAAATGAATGAAATGAATGAAATGAATGAAATGAATGAAATGAATGAAATGAATGAAATGAATGAAATGAATGAAATGAATGAATTGAATGAAATGAATGCAATGAATGAAATGAATGAAATGAATGAAATGAATGAAATGAATGAAATGAATGAAATGAATGAAATGAATGAAATGAATGAAATGAATGAAATGAATGAGTGAATGAGTGAATGAGTGAATGAGTGAATGAATGAATGAATGAATGAAATGAATGAATGAATGAATGAATGAAATGAATGAATGAATGAAGGGATGAAATGAAGGGATGAAATGAATGAATGAAGGGATGAAATGAATGAATGAATGAATGAATGAAATGAATGAATGAATGAATGAATGAATGAATGAAAGGAATGAATGAATGAATGAATGAAATGAATGAATGAATGAATGAATGAATGAATGAAATGCAATGCAATGAAATGAAATGGAATGAAATGAAATGAAATGAATGAATTGAATGAATGAAATGAATGAATGAATGAATGAATGAATGAATGAATGAAATGAATGAATGAATGAATGAAATGAATGAATGAATGAATGAATGAATGAATGCATGAATGCATGAATGCATGAATGAATGAATGAAATGAATGAATGAAATGAATGAATGAATGAAATGAATGAATGCATGAATGCATGAATGCATGAATGCATGAATGCATGAATGAAATGAATGAATGAATGAAATGAATGAATGAATGAATGCATGAATGAATGAATGAATGAATGAATGAATGAAATGCAATGCAATGAATGAAATGAATGAAAATGAAATGAATGAAAATGAAATGAAATGAAATGAAATGAAACGAAATGAAATGACATGAAATGACATGAAATGAATGAATGAATGAATGAGTGAATGAATGAATGAATGAATGAAATGAATGAATGAATGAAATGAAATGAATGAATGAATGAATGAATGAGTGAATGAATGAATGAATGAAATGAAATGAATGAAATGAAATGAATGAATGAATGTATGAATGAATGAATGGAATGAATGAATGAATGAATGAATGAAATGAATGAATGAATGAATGAATGAAATGAATGAATGAAATGAATGAAATGAATGAAATGAATGAATGAATGAATGAAATGAATGAATGAATGAAATGAATGAAATGAATGAATGAATGAATGACTGAATGAATGAATGAATGAAAGAAATGAATGAATGAATGAAAGAAAGAATGAAATGAATGAATGAATGAATGAATGAATGAAATGAATGAATGAATGAATGAATGAATGAAATGAATGAATGAATGAATGAATGAATGAATGAAATGAATGAATGAATGAATGAATGAAATGAATGAATGAATGGAATGAATGAATGGAATGAATGAATGAAATGAAATGAAATGAAATGAATTGAATGAATGAATGAAATAAATGAATGAATGAATGAAAT